ATCAGGTAAAGTATGGAGAGTTTCCAAGTTCTGAATCTTTGCCACAGAAGCAATATCAGGCTGTAGAAAGCCATGAAAACTGCTTACATTGGCCTAACTGACATCCTACTGAACACCACATGTAGCCCGGGCTGCCAGTCAGGACTCCTTCCTTTGCTTCTCGGCCTGCTTTTCTGTTGCGCAATAGCTGTCCTTCTTGCAATGAAATGTTAAATTTAGGAACACAAGCCCTTCAAAATGCTCTCCGCAGTGGTCATAAGCAAGCTGCTTTTATGCTCACGGGACCAGATGCTCCTCCCTCCTTTGGGGGCCCAACGAGCCATCAGAGGCACTGCCTCCAACAGCGTCTGTTCCATGAGAAGGACAGGTACACCCAGCTCCAAGGTTAGATCTGACACAGGCCAAAGCAGCACAGGGCCAGCAGCGGGCAGCTCCCAGAGCCCGACAGAGGCAACTTCTCTGGCTGAGCACAGTGGACATAAAGGGCCAAGCTTTCCAAATGCTTATCAAACAGCTTACCTTGTTCAAAGCCTGCCCTACTCCTAGCAAAACAGCTGAGAGAGGAATCACAATGACACAACAAGAAAAATACATACAGCACAACTCCCAGCAGTAAACAAACTGTGAGCCAGGTCCCCTTCCACATTACTAATTGGTCTGCCAACCTAATTTTACACTGTTTAGGTGATCGTCCAAAACTGTACCTTAAAGTTTGCTTTTGTCATTAAAATTTAACACTAGTGAGAGAGAAGGTGTATGCCAGATGTAGAGGGTGATACTGCCATCTCCTCCTTCAACACAGATCGTAACTCTTAGCAGTGTTTCTTTCACCCAGTTAAAGGTATGACATTTTATTTGTGTGTCACTTAGACGACGGAGATTCCTTGCAGAACTGGAAAAAAATAAAAGAAAAATGGTAGAGGCTGTGACAGCATAAGGAATGGGATAAAAATTGGGTTTCATTAGGATGTTTTTGGATCATTTCTTGACTTGTACAATATAAGATTGATTCCACAGTAACTTTGCTATTAGCTGTTTGCATGTAAGTGCTATCACTGCAGTTCTGTCTCTGCTGTACCTGTGCTACACAGGATACAGTCCCCTGTATACTGCTGCATAAAGCTCCCAAGCTCGTGTTAAACAGACCAGTTTATTCCACCTTTGTTTCTACAGACCTAAGGTCAATAGACTGGTGTCTCTCATTCTTCTGCAATCCAAGAACTTCTTCAGATTTGCAAATGTGTTTCTTTATCAGTCAATAATGCCTCATCTTTGTATCAGCTGGTTTATCTACCATTTCAATTACAGAATCACCTCATGACGTGTAAGAAGAATTTGGACTATGAAATGTAACAAAATTAAGTTTTAAACTAGTTAATAACCAAAAAACTCTAACAAAACTCAACTGTCTTTATCCTCCAATATGTATGTATCCAACAGAAAGTGGCCTCCTGCAAGATCTTTGATTCAGGTTCTTGTTAAAGGCAGAATGCCAAGTGAGAGGTACTGACACTGAACTGAGCTTAATGGCAAATTTTATACACCTGCTGACCCCACTGTTAGACATGAAAACTTTCACAGAATTCACATGGAAGACTCCAAGTTGCTGTAGTTGCAATGACATGGGCATGTCCTATGTGTGTAGCTAAATGAATGATAAAATGTTCATCCCCCATTGTCGTATGTGTTTCATAAAAGGTCTTTCATGACAAAGTGCAATGTCAGTGTACAAAGTCAGGGTACAGCAGGCAGACCATAAAACAATCTTGCTGCCTACAAGAGTAAATAAAGTCCTACTTATACGAAAGAAAAAATCCCTAAGAGCAGTTTTGTAGAGTTTGGTTCTTTTGGTTTTTTGCTTTGCGTTTTTATAAACAGGTCATCTTAACTGTGTGGAATAAACTGAAGAGGTCTGAAATACGGATCTGATGCATTCTGATGTGAAATGCATCCCTATGTGAACCCAGTCTGCTTCTACTGAAATCAGTGCTGTGGTTCTAGAAAAGCTTGGCTGGAAAAGAGATGGATTTGACCCCATTACTGGGTTTCCCCCTATTTTAAAAGGACAAAGAATTTATTCCAGCATTCTGCAATTCTAGTGATTCAAGGATTTACTGCAGTGCCCACTTGGTTGGTGCTTCACTTATTTTTACAAATATTGTCCCACCTCCTAGGCTTTTCCAACGTCTTAGATTTTTGCTGGTGTTTTGTAATTTAAGAATTAAAAATTCCAAACCAGGTAAAAGGGGGGTAATCTCCAAATGCTCATCTAGTTTAGACATGGCTTTTTTTTCCCGTTCCCACTGCAGTTTCTGCATCTTCTGAGCAATACTGATATTCTGACCTCATCATAATAGTTTTCAAAGGTATCGGAGAACAGAATCAGTAGTAGTGACACTGAGTGACAGTGTTCCAGTATTACTAACCTTTGAGAAGACGTTCACAAGTCATGCAGAGTATAAACTGTGTAAGTAACAGCTTATGAGCCTCACTACGATTTTCTTAGATACTGAGGCCAAAGATGACTAGTAGTGGATTTACTGACTACCTTGCAGGTTTTCAGCTGGTTTTCCAGAATACAGAAGCAGCCTCTTCTATGGAGTATAAAAAGCAGCTAAACACAGCTATCATACTGCTGTAAAGCATGGCTTCCTGGTAACAGGAGCTAAATCACCTGGATCCATCACACAAAAACACGCTAGTTCCTTTGCTTTTACATAACTTGACCTCAGTCCAGATTGACTTTTTTGTTTGTTTCTCACAACATAACCGTTTCTCACAGCCTAGTTCTGAGACACATACTCCAGAGACACTCCTTAACAGAGAAGCTGGCATATATTGCACAGGCATCTGAATCACGGTGTTATTTTTCCTTAGTGGCCCTTCTGTAAATGAAGCACCATTTTTACTCCCCAAGCCACTAAAAGCTGTTTTCATGACTGGTACTGGGAGTTCCATAAATTCTCAATAGCAAAAACTTCCAGTGACTATTTCCTACTTCCCTTTATCTACGCAAAAACTTATTTTAATTAAATCAGTAACAGACGTATCAGAAAGATATGATTATCAATTAACCTATCAAAGAACCTGACAGCCTTTAGCATTTGCCCAGTTGGTTCCTAGTATCTAGAAAGAAGTAAGATTTCTTTGTGGAAATTTTTTCACTCAAGGCCACGTTAGTGCATAGTAAATAAGTGAGCTGTTTTTTTTAACTGCAAAGATTAAATCATACTGTGATAATTTTCTTGGTCTGACAGCAGGCTCCCCGAAGTAAACATGAAGCTCAAAAATCTAGTCTTAAGTCTGACATGAAGATGAGTTTCATAGTTTCATCTCTTAATCAAAAACCCAAGACTGTGATCCTTTCTGCCTGAAGTTAGACTGAATTTAGCTACTGAAGACAGGAGAGGTGTACCCAGTGCCACATCTAAATTAGTAGTACCGATTTTTGTTTAAGTTTGATGCACATATTACAGCAGAACCCCAAACACACTATCTGCCAGCGACAGTACCTGCCTGTCTTCAATCCTACTGGCAGCTTCAGGAAAAAAGGCATTTGAGGGATCTCTCACAAGCTGTCAACCCTTCCAGTGGCACCTCAAAACTACAAGAATTGCATATATACTTAAAAAGGATTTCTAGTCTTACTACTGTCACCTTAAAATATATATTTGCCTCTAACATTAGGTCTGGCCCTCAAGTCTGATAAAAATGCTTCATATCCTTCTGTTTCTGCAAAGAAGCCTAAAGCTGGCAGGCCAGGCTCTGGTTCCAAATACATTGCTTCAGCATTAGTGATGACTCAGGATGTCCCTGTCCCTGCTCTGCCAGCTTCTGTCTATCCGCACAATTCTCGGTGTGGCTCGTGATGAACCAGATCAAGGAACCAGTCTAGATGAACAGTGACTCGGGTTTCTTTCAGCTGTGTCATTTCATAAGGACGGTGGCTGTGAAAACCAACTTATTCAGCATTGCCACTTAACCTGAAGCCACAGCTCTGGACAGTTCAAGACAGCTTTGGACAGTCCAATATCATGCACTTCATGGGATTTTGTAGTTGTACGGGGTAAAATTTTACATGTTTCTGGGCTATATCCACTATATGGATCAAAACAAAGCCTCAAACATCTTTAAAAGAAGGTTTATTTCAAATTGGAATTAAAATTCCCTGAGCTTGACCCTCTGAGCAAAGTGGAAACTGTTGTCAATCTCAAAATACATGGAATTCTCAGGTCCACACAGGGACAGCAATGGAATTGCATCTATGACTATTTGCTAGGAATGAAAATCAGTGCAAAAATCATCCTAACACAAGTGCTACAGGACAATATGCCAAGCCTAAAAATGAAAGATAAGGATCCAGTATCTGTTAAAGAGCTGCAAAGCCTGCTTTAAAAGGGGTACTTGCTTGAATAAAGTGTTGCATGCTAAGCCAGTGAGGCTCTGCTTGAGCTCAGGAGGCTGCCGCATGTGGCATCATTTTAAGTGGAAATTTTGCCTAAGCACAGATGAAATGCTGAGCTTTGAGGGAACATATTAACCTTAGAGAACACAACAGGACACCACATAAGTAGCAAATCCACTGAAACATTTTTTGATCATTAGCCTTTGTTCAGAGATACCAGCACTGCCTCCATAATAATTCATGTCTGATTGCAAATCTATTCAGTGTCTGAGTGCTTCAAAATAACAAATGATTATCTAAACTTTCCCAAAGCAAAGAAGATGCACTAGAGCTTTTCCATTGCACACAGCTGTTCCTAACATCAGCTGATTTGTTATGTGTTTTCATATCAGTCTTTACAAATAAGTGTTTTGTAGCGTGAAGAAGGACCGTGTGTTGTAAAAACGATGATCCAGAACCAAGAAGGATATCTACCCATGACCTGAGCCCAGATAATGAAGTGCCTCATCCACATTAGTAAAACATTAACAGAGGTTATTGGTTGTCATAGTAAAATGAGAGGCCGCACTGAACGTAATTTCATTTACGGATGTTCAGAAAATTGACATCACGGCTGCAAGAACATATAAATAACCAGCACGCTGCATTTCTGATCCACTGCAGCAACATCTCTGACAGAAGCACTCTACATGCTCAGATCCTCTAAAGGCACAGCAGAAACTGGATTTTGTGAAGTACACCGAGAAGCTCCTTTTTGTAAAACAGTTCTGAGAACGTCCGAGAGATTTTTCCTCTGTCTTTAACTGTGTTTGCCACTTCTTTAAAAAATCATGTGCACAGGAGGGTGTGCCAAGTGCCTGGGAACCACTCTTATCCCCCTGGCTGTGCTATGTACCCTCGCTAACATCTTGTTGTTTTTCCCTGGAGGAACAGTGGTTGAAAACAATCTACACATTACAGATGAGGTTTGGTACTTCGGAGGGATCTTGGGATCTGGTGTGTTGGTGAGTATATAAATTCAGACATCCCCACCTTTTTCCCCCCACCCACACCATGACTTTGAATTGTTGAATTTCCTCTGTACCTCAAATGCAGCTTCCAACACTGCAAATTCTTCTTTGATAAACAAATAAGTTACAAGTCATTCAACAGTTTTGCAATAAGTAATTTAGTGATAAGAAAAAAAAATGAAAAAGACACATAGAACTATTATATTTAAAAGCAAATGTAACCTGAATTCATCCCAATTCAAACTGTATTTCTGTTATTGGTAGATGATCTTTCCTGCCTTGGTATTTTTGGGCCTTAAGAATAATGATTGCTGTGGATGCTGTGGTAATGAGAGCTGTGGAAAGAGGTTTGCGGTAAGTGAGAGGAAACGCGGCAAAAAAGTAAAAGCTAAATTGTTATTGAGATGATAGATGTATCTTCTGCTCATAGTCATGGAGAGACCAGACCGATTCTGTCCCGAGTGTAGTACACAAAGCCCTGCCATTTGTCTGAGTGCTGGAAAGGAGAAATAGAAAATATTTTTTACAATAGACTGTGAAAATTGTATTATGCCTTTGCTGTTGTGCCAGAAGTACCACAATTGTACTGCCTTGTATTTTGCTATCACAAGATAGTTATAGCTGCTACCACAATGAAAACTAATTTCTAAAGATCCGCACTTTGTTTTTCAGAGCATAACAGTTCTCTCTTTAGCCATTTTTTGTCGTCAGTTTTTAAAATTATTTTGACAGTTGGGCTCTACATTCCCAACTCATTGCAGACCCATGCAATGGCCTGTGAGTATCTTGTTAGGTTCATAGGAAATTTCAGGTTGGAAGAGACCTCAGGAGGTCACTTAATCCAACCTCCTGCTTAAAACCAGGTAAACCAGGCTCCACCTTGAATTTAGAGCTTCCTTTCACACTAGAAGTGAAAAATTTTGAATTGATAACTTCAGACACTAGTAAACAATTCATGCATTTTAGTTTAAAGATGAGATTAGACACACCTATACTTCTACTAGGAAAGCCTGTCCTTTTGAAATGAATTGTTTGGCTCAAGTAGATAATTATATTTTTTAATAAAGGAACAGATTTTCAATTGGGAAAAGAAAAGGGGGGGGGGGAAACAAATAGGAAAAGAATCATGACCGTGAGGTTAACAAAGAGCCTTCCTCAAATCCCCTGTCTTTGATGCTGTCTTCATGCAATCCCAGCAAAGCAGGTGGAACTTCGAGGGGGGGAATGGAGCCAGGTATTTCTCTTCACTACATTGTGTTATCAATTTTCAGTGAACATATCTTAGCTCAGCCTTGAAGACCACATATAACTCAGTGACCATTGAACTACGAAGTTTTTGCTGTGGGCTGCTGCTCACAGCTCTGTACTGCAGCTGAAGGGCGGGTGGTTATAGAGGGAGCGAGCACCGAGTGCTCCCTGCGCGGGCTGCCGCTGGCCTCTGAACACCGCACCGCGCGCACGGTGCCGGCCGTAATGCAGCCCAGGCTCTGCAGTGCGGTACCGTGCTGACCGCTCCTGTTTGAGTGCAGCTGACTGCCAGGCTGGGAATAGCAATACAGGCACAAGTACTAAGGACACAGTACTGAAATGTCCTGGTGACCTTCCCACAGCATGACTGAGAACTGAGTTTGTTCTTGTGGGTTAGCAGAAACACCATGATTATGATGTCTACTACATCAAAATAATGTTTAAGTTAGCCCCATCGATATATCAACACAAAAATGTACATCGACACTCAAGGCAAGAGTCTCATGATGAGGTCTGAATAAAAGCTCACAGATCTCAAAGTACATTTTTTTTTCCCCTCTACCTATACCACTTTGAGCCAATAAAAGACACTACCTCTACCTACAAACTATTATGGCTACAGGTGCTTCAGAATTCAAGCAGGGCATTAGTTTTTGTGTGGTTTACTTACTAGTATAAATGAAAATGCACTAATGGAAAGCCAGAAGAATAAAGGCATCCTTTCCAATCCATTCCAGTTGCACTATCAGAGGTAAGGATGCCAAGTACCTGTGAGGAGGAGATAAAGTGTTCTAATATGGAACCTGAAGGGAAGAGTCAGGAAGAAAAAAATATAATTGCTTGGTCCAAATATGACCAAGATACCAAAGCTACCTTGTAAAGGGTACTGCAGATTTTTTTTTAATGCCTTGAATGGTCCAAGACTTCAGCATTCCTTATAATCTCTGTGAAAGACATCCACTTCAGCCAAACACAGACCTTGCCCAAGGACGGGTCTGCAGGATCCACGCTGTCTGAAGGAGAGGAGTGCCATCTACTGTGTCACCATCGGCTCCTCTCGTCTTCAGGCAAATGGTGACAATTCTTCCAAAGCTTTTAAACACCAGTGCAGGTATGCATTACACAGTTATCATGTGACTGCAAACTAGTGTATTTCAGCTGTTCAGGAGTTTACTATTTTGACTGTTAAGAGCTGAACTTAGGGAATGTGCATTCACACTAATAGGATGCATTTCATTGTCTGAATGAGAACAAAAATAACATTATTTTTCTCTTCATCAGATGTTTTCTTCTATAATATTTGCTGCAATTGGAGTTGTGGGAGCTGGATACTGCTTTGTTTTGTCAGCAGTAGCCATAAACAGAGGCCCGAAATGTAACACTGGAACACAGTGGACCTATCCTTTCCAGGATGGGTAAGACAAGACAATCAGAAAAATGTTATACAAGTTTTAAGTTTGTGGTATGATTTAACTTCCAAATCTGTTGTATAAAAATGGGAATTACACTGTTTGTCTAAAACCCAGAAGCTCTTAGAAGAGTCATCAATGCACAGCAATACTAAATAAGGTTCAGGTTCAAAAGTACAGATGTAAAGAATAGCCAGTACAATCAAAACTACTGAGTTTCAAAGGAGTCGGTAAAGACAAAATGCAGAGCCTTCTAGGTTATTCTTGGGATGATAAGCAGTATGTGGGGATAAATTTTACCTAGATGAATAGCAGCGACATACCGAAATTTTATGGTATTCAAATAATTAGTATCTATGTATCATTTTATCTTGATTATGGAATTTGGAAGTTGTCTGCTTCTCCCACTACAACTCAAACACGTTTACTGTCATGTGTATTCAGCACTTTCAGAGAGGTGGTGAGAAGAACACGAAACCCTGGCAATCCAATTGCTCGGGGCTGAAGTCAGCAAAGGTCCAACTGAAAACAGGGTAGAATGTGTTACCAAGGACAGCAGGTGGGATCAGAACAGATCGGCAAGGGGTGCAGGAAACCCCTCATCACTTGGCAATCTTTAATGCAGGTTTCCTCAGTCAAGAGTGACCTAGCAGGGTCTCTTGCATAATACACCACAAAATTATAGTTCAGGTTGATGAGGAAAATTAAAAAAAAAAGTATAATGTTGTATGTTACACATTATTTGTTCATGGGCCAGTGAGGGCTGGAAACCAACTGCTCTGGTCTAATTCTGGGAGTCTTTGGAAATACATGCTCTCTTTCAAGCATAATTTTGTCTTGTCTTTTCAAATCAGTTGCTTCAATTGCTTCTAAACAAAATCATGCTCTAGATACGTAGCACCAGCGTGATAATGGAAATTCTTTCTCGCAGTCCTGAAGCTAACAGAACCCCAGCTGTACCACATCAGTGACAACTTACAGACCCCCTCTCTGCAAGCTTACATCGCCTTCTTCATAACTGCTTTGTTCTCCCCCCAGGGATTACCTCACTAACCACACATTGTGGAACGCGTGTCAGTCACCCGAAAACATCGTCCCATGGAACTTGACCCTCTTCTCCTTGCTGCTCATCATGAGTGGGATCCAGGCAGTGCTCTGTGTCATTCAGGTGGTGAACGGCCTGTTTGGAACCATCTGTGGGGACTGCAAATGTTGCGGATGTTGTGGGGTGAGCAACTGATGGTTTTCTTTCATTATTTTGTGTACTGGTAATAGTTATATACACACCTGACTGGCTGACAGTTTGGAAAACTAAACTAGCCTTCATTCAGCACCATGATCATATTTTCTAAAGTACAGCTGAAACCCACAGTGTTGCCAGGTGCTGAAAATATGATCTCAGTCCACATTTATGGTGTTTATCTGATAGCCTCCCATAGCCACTGGGAAATTATAAGAACCTTTCAAAGTCACAGGAATAGCAGTCACTAAATTACCTCCATATTTTTATTCCTCCAGGGAGATGGAACTGTCTAAAGAATACAAATATTGCAGACAACCCTCCTTACCTTGGGAGGCTCCCTTTTGCAGCCATTCCATAAAGCAGCCCTCAGATGCATCATCTCTGGCTAAGAAGATGAGAATGAAGGGCACTTTCCCCAAGAACGTCATGAAGCCCTGACTCCCTTTCTGGCCTTCCTGAAACCCCTCATCATGGAATAAAATAAGTGAAATTCAACTCTCACATTCATATTTATTTTTGTAAAACAGCTTCCATTTAAAAAGAGGGCATTCTCAGGCAAAATATTTTCTTTCCTGAGTCAGCTTTCCAACTGTGGATCACTAACTCCTGCCGGTGCAAGCTCAGTTGTAATGCAGTTGTGTCTGTATTCTTTTGAGGTTTATCAAATGGAAACAGCACAAGTTTAACTTTTTTTTAGTATGTTTACATTATGTGGAAAAGTGAGGACCTCTCTCTTCTATACCTCGATATGATTAAAATGCTCTTTATAAAGAGAGTCTCTGTTAGAAAAGAGATTAATGAATCTCGTGGTGAGGTCTCTTCTTCACTGTCTGACAGACAGGTATATTCAGCAGCACTGCTCTGCAGGCAAGTGTAGGGTCAAAGCAACAGGCAAAAGAATAGAGAGCCGTGGATCCCTAGTCTGAGGTGTTATGGGTCATCCTGGACACCACCGTACCCTGCTTCCCACCAGGAATTCAGTGAGAAAGACCAATTCACAGCCATTTCTCAGCACGACAGGGATCTGGCTTCTTCGCTTATCCAGAATCAGTCTTCCTCCAGTCACTCTCACCAGAGGGAACGTAACAACATAGTATGGCTGTAGAAGATGAAACTGAAAACAGAAAGTATAAGAAGAAGGGAGGCTTGTAAGAGACTTTCCCAGTCTACAATTCTTTGTACTCCAGTGACCTCCCGAGACAACGGTTCCATCTTTGCATTTAACTTTTGTTTTGAGGGATTCCTTCCCCATGAAGCTGTCCAGATGCTTCTTGGATCACAATATCCCTTCCACTCAGTCTAAATTCATGTTGTGGGAAGAAACTCCTTTGCTCTGGCCCTGCCACCTGTTCCTTTCTTGTTAGAGAGCAAGCTGATTTCTCATACAGAACATCACCTTCAAACACTGGCTCCAAACAAATGGTAATGGTAAATAAAGCCTCATTTCTAGAAAATCAAATAAATTTCCAAATCTCTGACACAATATAAAATTGGTACCCATGGAAAGGAGAGGGACACACCCTATTTAAATCCAGCTGAAAAACTCAATTAAAACTTCAACATATGTATCTACTTACATGCTGAAATACGTCCTATACCTGCAATCCTTGCCTTGAATCTCTTATAGAGGCTGCGCAGCCTTTATAATTTAATGATGTAGAAACTGTCACAGTAAGTAATCAAATCTGTTTCTACTTGCAAAGTGAAAGGGCTTTTAACCCCCTGTTTATGGCACTAACTAACCAACTGTGATCTCTTGTCTAACAATGACTATGTGGTGACTTAGAGTCACAGAAAAACAGGTCTGAGAGACATCTCTGGAGCCTACCTTTGTATGCAGACACAGGGCAAACAACAGAAACAATTTGTGAGACATCTGCGTAACCTGTTCTTAAAAACCTCTGCATTCAGAGATCTGACATCTTCAGAATTTTATAACACTGCTAACTGTTCTGAAAGTTAGAAAGACTTTCTTAATATGCAATCATGCATCCCCCTCGTATAAAGCTGTTCTCTTCTCGGTGGTCTTATGGAAAATTCTTCCTCTTCACAGCAAACTTTTCCACATTTGGAGACTCTATCATGTTTCAATCCTCACCTCTGACAAAACAATAAAATTTCATTCTTTCATCATAAATGATGTTCTCTCACAACTCACTATTCATATTGTACTCCAGCAAGCTTCTCCTGCAAGTTTACAGCAGCTGAACACTGGACTTGTGACTTCAACACAAGTTAATTTTTCTATTCAGTCGAGCTGAGTAGCTCATAACTCCTCTTCTTAAAGCTTCCAATCTAGACGTGAGTGCAAATTCTATTATACATCTTTTTGCAGAAGTTCAATTTAGCAGCATTTGCCTGGCACAGGGCTATTGAAGAGGGAGGAAAGGCAAAACAGTTGAAAGACAAAAATACTTTCTAGAAAGAACTAGTCTTTTAAAACTTAAAAAAACCCAAACAATATTTCCCAAAGAAATCAAGGAGGAAATAAAAGGGATTGGAGCATATCAGATCAACCAATATGCTTCTTAAGAAATTTCTAAAACAAATTTTCACAAGCCAGCTTGCCAGATGTCTCAAGGCTTTTAGTTCATCAATGTATTTGCTACATCTCTTTCCTAAAATTTTCCGCCCGAAATAATGATTCTGTGGCCTGTGCTTTCAGAAAATGTATTTCATGTATGCTGTATCTACACTAGAGGTATCTGAAGAACTTAAAGTATTCAGAAGCACTAGAAGCTTGTGAGCAACATGTAAAAATGTTAAATAGCTAGATTTAGATACTAAGAGTCACATTAATAAAAGCAAAGCAGCATCAGTGATACATTGTGCAAGATGATAAAATAAATGATAAAAACCCCTCGTTAGAAACAGCTGTCTCTCCCATCTGTTATACTGCATTGCTAGGGAATTTGAGAGTACCCTTTATATCACCACCCACTGATGCAGCCATCCACCATCTACTCTTTCATCTGTGGTTAGCAGCTGTCCTACACCTCATCTCGCATTTGTCTTGTTTTATTTATATGAAGCCTTTGGGAACATGGAATGTTTCTCATCAGCATTCAACAAAGGGAGGGTAGCTGCATAGTGTACAATTTTGATATATTAACAAACAGAATACATAAATCTTTGTGGGAGACTTGGGATAAGAAATAACAGACAGGAAGCTGTGATACCTAAAACCAAAACCAATGGGAGATGAGTCAATGCTTCTAAGATGCCCAACTACATGGTAGTTTTCTAACATGAGCTAAACTATAGCAGATACTGAGATAAAGCACACATCTTTCATCATGTGATCTGGACTGTGTTAGCACCTTGGCCTTGGGGTAAACCGAACAAGCGGAAATGAACTGGAACCAGCAGCTCAGCTGATCCAGCATTTTAAAGTGCCCACAGCAGTGTTCCTAAATCTATTCAGTTATGGCCAACATCTGAGGCTCTCCCCTAGTATTTAACTTCAATGGAATCACACTTATCTCCAGCATCAGTTCTGCAGTAATTGAAGATTACTCTCTCTGCTTTTACTGAGCAAAGCATCCAGTAACATAACAGAGAAGGACTGATCATAGATCGTTGTAATGGAGAAAGATAAAATGGGCCAGTGGTACTTCTGGGAGAGAAGTCACAGGTAAGGAGAGTAGAATGCTAGACAGGGACAGAAAGATGATGGCAAGAGAGAAACCATGAACATGGAGATCTAGAAGTGTTAAAACAGACCTCAGTAGTCCTGACCAACTGGAACACCACACACAGTTTTAGTGTGTACAAATGTCAACAAATTTACACTTAGACAGATGTAGAAATCCTAGTGGCCTTCTTAGTATTGCTTGTAAAAATCTGAGATGCACATGTTATCTGAAACGTCATTATTCACCCATTAAAACTAGGGTGCTGAGAGCATGGCAGTTTCAACATGGTGTGGCATTGTTTCAGCTGAGAGTTTACATAAAAAGAAACACACAGGTTATTTAACAACTCGGATTGCAACATGTGGAATGTGTGCATAAGATTTTGAGCCCACCCATTTCAACTTCAGCCTAACAAAACTGGTGCCTCCACATGGCTAAACTGTATACAGCTGGAGCTCTCTTTACTGATTACGTGCAATAAATAGACTGCAAGAAGATGAAACATTAACCACAGTACAGTATCACCTGTCAAGGAATGATGAATTATTTAACTGGTAACTCTTTGCAAAAGTTTCATTTCTAAAATTAGGAAGTAACATACACAAAGGTAGAAGACATTTGTTCAGCCAAGAGCAAAGGAAGTTTTCTGACAACGTTCTAGTCTTCAATGTTCATCACCTGCCACCAGTTCAACTTTAGCTCCCCCTTCATGGCTTCAACATGGCTCACGGTGTAACCAGCAACAAGGCAAACAGCGGCAAATTCTGGAACAAGCAAATTCTGGAAGAAGCCCAGCTGCCTGAGAATGGGGAGACTGACTTATTCTAGGACACTGGCATGGGTATACCCCTGAGGTATGACAGTGACAGACATGAATAAAAACCCAGATAAAACGCCTCTGACATTTTTTCTTACCAAATTAATTTTTCACCAGGACAGGATACACCATTTAACTGAAATTACAAAAGCTCTGCCAATATAATAGGACTTTCTGAAAGACATCTTCACCTGAGACACATCATCATTATCTTCCACCTGTCCCCCTGCTGCGGGAGCCTTTAATGAAATACAAATTGATCCCCCCAGTGGGTCCAATCAATCCAAACCGAAAACGAATCGTAAGTAGGCACTGAAAAGCACACAGTTAATCTACTCACTAACTGCACTAGCTAGAGTAGTAGATGGCATTGTTCGGAGCCTGACAGCCCCAGAGAACGGCGCCGCTGAAAGTTCTCCGCGGCCTTTGCCCACACAGGACTCCCCGCCCGCCTGAAGGGAG